TTATCCACTGGGCTGCATAACAAAATGCCATTCTCCACTTTGTTCTGGACGCCGGGCATGGAGGAATGCAGCTGGCCTGAGCAGTTATTATTTTGGTTGTTGTCTTTGATGTGCCAAAGAAATGATGACATAGAAGCCTGGAGCCTAGCTCAGGAGCCAAAAGCTTGTTAGTGATTAGAGAGGGGATAATGGCCCTGTGGAGTTTCCCACTGTGTGTGGAGAGCTCAGAGCTGCCAACTCTCTGTCCTGGAGCTCTGAGGACAGTTCAAGCCCCCTAAGCCAGCACCCCAGGGAGCTGGGTATGTGAAAGGGCCAGAAACAGCTGGATCTGCCTCTCACCAGGCTCCCGAGTGAAGCTGTTCAGTCCTAAGGCTCCTCCTGGCAGAGCATTCTTCTGCGGGTTTCCATGCCCTGAGAACGGAGAGCGGGTATACAGTTCTTCTAGGGCACACTGCTGCCCGTCCCCGGAGGTTGTAAGCTGTCAGGCCATGAACCAGGCCTAGCCCCCAGACATGTTGTGTTGGGTCCTCATGGTAGTCTCAGTTTGTATTAGTTTCCAACCTTTAAAAATTAAGGGATTTCATCTCAAAATCTAGATTTCTAGATTCTCTTGAAAAATTGGAAGATTTAGCAGTACAAGCTCTGCATTCCCCCAGTTGGCAGGAGTCACAGAACCGTGGCCATTGTGAACTGAGCACAGGCTCTGCAGTCCCCACTGTTCCCACCTCTGCCCAGGTGACCCCATACTCAGCCAAGTCAGCGGCTCTTTCATCCAGCTGGGAGCGGAGTGATGTGGCTGGAAGCAGGGGTGTCACAGTCTTACCATCTCTGTTCAGATCCTGGCTGCACCCTCCTGAGCAGTGTGGTCTTGAGCAAATTGCTTAATCTCTTGGGGCCTCATTTGTACAACGGAGATAATGTTACAGCCTACCTTGTAGGGATGATGTGTGGACTAACTAGATGAGATGAAACTAGAGTTGTGCACAGTCAGCACTTGGTAACTGTGAGCTGTGGTTGTTGTTGTGACTGTACTGTTCCCCTTCATGCATTCACATCACCTGCTTGGCCTCTACAGGTTTTTGAGTTTAGACTGAATGAGACTGAGCCCCCAAAGCCCAGGATCTGGTTTCCTCATCTTCCCATTGGCAGCCATCCCAGTGTCTGGCACAGCAGACGTGCCCAGTGAGCATGTGCTGAGTGGCTGAATGAATGCGGTGGGAGCCTTGTAAGAGTAGGAGAGGCAGCATAGCTGAGTGGTTTTGGCAAGGGCTTCGCTGCTCTCAAGTCCCTGCCCTCGTTAGTTCTCCAGGTTCTGGGCACCTGTTTTCTTACCTATGAAATGGGGACAATAGTGATGTCTGCCATGCAGGGTGGGAAAGGACTGTGCAGAGTACCGTGTCAGTCACTTGGCTCAGTTGGCACAGGTGGTCCTCAGCAAGGTGATGGTGTCGTCATTTGACATCTTTTGGTTGTAAACACTGAGATGTTTTCCTTTCCATACTTTTCCCTTCCCTGTCCTTTTTCTCCCTGATTTCTCCCTGTTTTTCTGCATTCCAAGAGTTTCACTTTGGAGACTAGAGCAGTCAAGATGCTTTCAGTTGCAAACAGTAGATAGCCCGCACTCAACTGGCTTAAGCAGTTGTGGGACGATATGGCCAGGGGTCAAGGGAAAGGCCCAGAGGTAGGCCAGACACTGGCTCTCTCTCTTCTCTCTGATTTTCTTGGCTCTGCCATCCTCTGCGTGGGCTTCAGCCTTAGGCTAGCTCCCTAAATGGTCACAAGATGGTCACCAAGGCTTAACCTGGGTCGTGTGCCTTTATCTGGACCAATTATGGGATCATGCTGACAGGCCTATTAGGACCCACCCCCAGAGTTGGAACTGTGGTCCTATCTGCCAAATTGCAGGCTGGTAGCCAGGTAGCCAGTGGGAGACATGAAGGTTCTTTCTGTGCCGTGGTAGCTGAGATGTGTCAGTGACCCTTTGGAGGCTGCTGGCTCCTTCTAGACTGGGACCCCACGCGGGTCAGCAGAAACACCTGGGGTGGGCACCTTGGAGCAGACATTGTTGATGCCAAATATAGGATCAGGGAGGTTGGCATTAGTGACTCAGTAGAGTGGGGAGGTCAGATCAGTCTTCTGAGACCAGGGAACAACACTCTGTCCCCATCAGGGCCAGTGGCCATCTTTCTGTGTGGGTACGTGTATGTGTGCACACACATGCTGGAGATTGACACTCCCACGGTCCCTGAGTCTCCTGAGCAGACATTGATTGCCCCAGAGCTGTGACCCCTGGAGTGACAGTGCAGCCTGGGCAAAAACTTGGGGATAAGACCTCCCTATACTCCACAGACGTCCCTGGAGAGAGCCACACTGTGTGAGTGAAGGCAGGCAGGGTGGAGAGGTGGCTCATGTGAGACCCCCCAGCTTTTCGCTTCTGGAGCCTGGTACTGTCAGAAAGTGGGGGGAACTCGGGAGCAGGATGGCTCTGGGTGTGCAGGTACCCTGCAGCAGAGCGTGCGCCTGTGGTCTGGACACAGCTGACTGGGTGGGTTTTGGCGGCAGACTACAGGATGTTGGATTGCATCCTGATTGTGTCACCCTTGGAAGAAGAGGATGAATAAACATATTGCCTTCTCTGCAAGCACAGCACGCCTTAAATTTTGGAGATTTTCAGTCTCGCCTGAAAAGAAAAAAAGCTCTAGACTAGCTGTTCTGTCCTCCATTTGATCCTCGGGCTGCCATGAGCAGGTGGAAGAGAGGCTACATAATGAAGCTCTGTGTAAGGTGGGCAGACGGCCCTGACGCTGTAGCAGTAGAGGATGGTGTTCCGTAATTTATAAATGGCCGTGTTGTCTAGCATGGTGGGAGGGTGGTGGGAGGGTGGGAAGAATGGAAAACCTGACCTCCCTCAGCCTGCAGCCAACTTCGAGGAGCTAGTGGAAGAGATAGAGAACCAGGGTGCATAAAAAAAAGAACCAATAGTGCAAGGAAATGGCGTCACTGCCAAGCGAGGGGTCTGGAATGTAAGTACTTAGGGGCCAGGTCAGAGCAGGTGCCAGGAAAAAGGGAGAGTGAGTTCTGGAGCCCAGGGAAGGGGCCAATTTTGAAAAGTGAATTCAGACGTAACCAGCTGGGCAGGAACTGAGCATGTAAGGAAGGCCTCAGACCGTGAAGCACCCAGAATGCCATGCGAGGGGCTTCGGACCTGACTCAGCACATCCTATGCTCCATTTGCCATATTTGATGTGGGCACCAGTGAGGGGAAGCTGCCTTTGGGACCTCGTTGTTGGGCTATGTTTGCAGCCCTGGGCGGGGGTGGGGTGGGGTGGGGGACCTGGGCTTGAGTGCGGAGGTTGTGACATGATCCCCGGAGCACAGGGCATGGGAGAAAGGGCCAGCTACAAGAACAGAGGCTCAACTGAGAGAGGGTCATTGGAGAGAGCAGGTTTAGAGGTAACCCTTACTTGTTTGAGGGGACAGTACAACTGCTCAGAGGGGCCACATGGGTCCAGGCTGCCAACACACACACTTGAGAATCATTGATGCAGTATCCAGTGACTGAGCCTGGGGTGGGGCTGGGTGGGGTGGGCATAATTAATGGAGAAGAGAAGGTTGAGTGTGAATGCTGGGGGCTCTGGTTGGGAGGAAAGAATAGTTAGAGGGATTCAGGCTGAGGCCACATGCTGTGGCTGCAGAGAGGTCAGAGGGAGCTTAGGTGCTGTGGAGACCCCTCTGGGAAGGGCAGAGAGCCAGGGCCCTACTGTCTGGTCCTGAGCCCCCTCTGCCACTGTGCCTGTATCCACATTGGCATAAGGCTGCCACTGTCCTCATCGGTAGCTCCTGGGGCTGTCTTCAGTTGGGACTGTTTTCTCCCCTCTGGCATTGTGGGCAGGATGGCAGGATGAGACTCAGACCCACTGCCCTTTCCTGTCCTCGCTCTTTCTAGCTGCCAGTCAGGGCAAGGGGGCTGGGAATGAAGGAGGCGTGTTTCTGCCCAACATGGAGCTGCCTGGGGCCTGTCCTCGAGAGGGGCCAAACTCAGGAAGGCCGAGCCTGGGAACTTTCCCTTGGAGGACATCATTTTACCCCATTCCCAGGGAGGCCACACAGATTGGAGCCTGACCGTGACCCTCTGCTTTGGGTCCTGGTGGTTTCTTTTTATAGTGCTGTGGGCCAGCTCCAGTGACCCCAACTCACTCGGGTGCAGCTGCCCGCCTCTCTGCTAAGGCCAGGTCTCCACATTTTCATCCGGAATCCTCTGTCTAAAGAACCAGGGGTGGGACGGGGTGAGAGGGTGGCGTGAACCAGTGCCTGGGGATCCCTAGGGAACCCCACTGAGGCAGGAGGGAGGAGGCCTCGGAGCTGTGACGCCTCAGAGACTGTCCCTGAGACGCAGTGGTGGGTCTGAGTGAGCACTGGCCCCTTTAGTAGGGCCCCTGTGTGCATGCCACACTTGGGTGCGTGAGGAGCAAGGGGTGCACATGGAGGACCGTGAGCCCGGCCCGATGGGGGAGGCTCCTCGATGCAGCTCAAGTGAGGGGTTCAGGCCAGACCTGCTTCTGCTTGAGTCCTGCTTCAATAGGAGGGTCTATGAGGTCTGGGAGGGGGACCCAGAAACATACACGCTCTCCAGTCTTGGCCTCTTGAAATCTTTACTTAAGATCCAGGGACCATCTAGGGCCTCTTCCTGGGAAGGAGGACAGGTGAGCCCTTAGAAGTAGCAGCCAGGAGATGCCCGGCCCTGGCACCCCTCACCAGCCCAGGTGGAGCAGACCACAGGTGACAGGGCCTTTTCCCAGATGGATTCAGGGGCTTTGAGGCCCACTGGGCTCCCTCTGTGGAGACTTGGCCTGGAATTGGAACTCTGGTGTCCTCACGTTGTGTCCTGAGATGTGCAGAGAATTCAGGTGGGGAGGGGGGTGAGTGTTGACTCAGGTTTAGCCTGCCCCCAGCTTGGCGCCTTTTCCCAGTGACTCACTGCCTCGCTCTTTCTCTCTTAGCAAAACGCAGAGCCAGAGCCCCGGAGCCTCACCCTGGGCGGCCATGTGGGCTTCGACAGCCTCCCTGACCAGCTGGTCAGCAAGTCGGTCACTCAGGGCTTCAGCTTCAATATCCTCTGTGTGGGTGAGTGTCATGGCCTGGCCAGGGGGCAGCCCCAGACAGAGGAAGGACGAGGGCCTTCTGGGAGATGGGGTGCTGGCCCAGTCGAGCTGCAAGGGGACCTCCCAGGCACAGTGACACCTTGGGAGGGCAGGATTAAGGTTTGGGTGGTGTCTTTGCGAGGGTCAAGGACAGAGTTGGAGCCAGGGCCTGCCTCAGAGTTGCTGTGAAGAGTAAACAGCAAAGTGAAAGTGCTTTGTAAACTGATTGTTTACCACAGAGGTTTAGGTTATTTGTGTATTTAAAACACTTTGATTGTTGTTTCTACTATGGTTCTAAGCCACTATGGCAATCACAGTGTCATGTAGTAAGAGTTTCCGCACCCCTCTGAACAAATACAGCTGTAAACAGGGAGCCTCTAAGAAGTGCCATGTGCCTCAGGCCTGGGCTCCCTGAGGCACAAAGAATCGGCCTGACTTTCCACAGGTGCCCTAGCCTTAGTATCTGCTGGACTGTGGGTGCCCCTCAAGAAGCAGCCTATCCTAAACCCCCAGTTAAAGCTATAGAGTTGGGCTACCCCGGGCAGCTAGGCCAAGCTACTGGTGGCTTCAGACCCTGGCCATGCTGGCTCCATGACCATCCTGGGCCCAGGAGGGATGGCCTGCAGAGTGGGAGACTAGGTCCCATTGAGGCCAGCAGAAGCCAATGTCCAGTGGTGTCTCACAGCTGCCTGGCTCTGCCTCTTCCCCACTCCCCGAGGAAACCTCTTGCATATTCCGCATAGCCACGGTTCATGTCCAAGTCAGCCTTTTGTCTCTTTCTTCCACACATTATTTCTGAGGTCACTGAGAAGGGATGGCTCCTAGGGACAGGGACACTGTGGGATGAAGGGGGAGGACTGCCCCCCACTCTCTTCTGTGGAGGCTGAGCGTGCCTCAGCCCCATCCAGCCCGGCCAACAGCCAGGGATGGCCCCAGTTCCAGCCTCTGACCTCCCCTCCTCTCTGTTCCCTGCTCCCAGGGGAGACTGGCATTGGTAAGTCCACACTGATGAACACGCTCTTCAACACGACCTTTGAGACCGAGGAAGCCAGTCACCACGAGGAGTGTGTGCGCCTGCGGCCCCAGACCTATGACCTCCAAGAGAGCAACGTGCAGCTCAAGCTGACCATCGTGGACGCTGTGGGCTTCGGGGATCAGATCAATAAGGATGAGAGGCAAGAGGCGGGAAGGGCGGCCCTGCCCGGTATCGTCCCCACCCTTGTTGGCTTCGTTTTAACCCTCTGCCTGAGCACACATCACTCCCAGCTATCCCCGTACAAATAACCAAGCCTCACACCCCCTGGGGCCAGGGGAGGTCCTGAGGTACAGCCCTCTGTGCCCAGGCAGGCACCCCGGCTGCTTGTTCCTAGGGAGAGCCGAGCCAGGGTGCCCGTCTCCCAGGTGACGGAGCTGTCTGTAGTTACAGGCCCATCGTCGACTACATCGACGCGCAGTTTGAAAGCTATCTGCAGGAGGAGCTCAAGATTCGCCGCTCACTCTTCGACTACCATGACACCAGGGTCCACGTGTGCCTCTACTTCATCACACCCACTGGGCACTCCCTCAAGTCCCTGGATCTGGTGACCATGAAGAAACTAGACAGCAAGGTGTGCTCCTCAGCTGGTTCTATGGGCTCCACCGTCCTCCACTGGAGGGGGGCGGGGGTGTTGGCTGCAGTGTGACTGTCCACTACGGTCCCCAGGGTTTCTGCTGGCTGGGGGCTTGCAGACAACTCCCTTGGCTTGGTCTTCTCTATATTCTTTGTCCCTACTGCTCCAGTGGGCACCCACTGCTCTGGGCTTTTTCCCCAGACCTCTGTCCCCTAGGTCTGGCCCTGAGCCCCTTTCTTCCAGCTGAAATCCTATTCTCACCCTGCTGGCGCCTGGCCTCCCCCTCCCCCAACTATGACCCTCTCCCCAGTGTCCCGATTCGCTGCTCATCTTCTCTCTCTCAATTCATAGTTCCTCCGCTCCCTTCACGTCCCCTGTCCTTCCTGCCGTGGATTTCCCTTGGGTCCTCTCACACACACTAGGGAAAGGGCAGTTAAAGCCCAGAATTGGGAATGTGAAGGAGGCGTAGGGATTGGGAGGGCAGCTTCTTGGGGACGACAGGAAGTGCTTGGGGTCCTGGAGGGCGTGTAGCACTACAGTCACCTATCACCTCTCATACGACTGTCCTTCCCATCTCAGGAATTAATTTTCACTGAGAAAAATGGGGTAACTTTAGCCTGGGAGATTTTGAGGACTTTCTGTGGCTACTGCTGATGGGTTATCTTACCTGCTTATGTGGGAGCTCAGCCCCCCACTGCTGCTTATGTTGGCTCCAGGTCGGTTAAGACCTTCAGAGCACTCTTGGTCAAAGCTGAGTGTGCCCATGGGACTAATTTTGGGGCCGGATGGTGGTTTGGGGGAACCGGGGCTGTAAGATGCCCTGAAGCCAATTGTTACAACCCCTCATAATGGCCCCAGGTGGCTGGGTTCAGGCCAGGACTCCCCATGAGAGCTGTCCCGTCTCCCTGGTTTCCTGCCCCTCAGCCCAGGGATGTGGCCTGGGCAGGGCTGTCCACAGTCAGGGAGCCACTAACCTGCTGCCCACTCTCCCCTGATCCTGGCAGGTGAACATTATTCCCATCATTGCCAAGGCTGACACCATCTCCAAGAGTGAGCTCCACAAGTTCAAGATCAAGATCATGGGCGAGCTGGTCAGCAATGGGGTCCAGATCTACCAGTTCCCCACTGATGACGAGGCTGTTGCAGAGATTAATGCAGTCATGAATGTGAGCGTTGGACAAGCGCCTTGGGGGCCTGGGGCCAGATGGCTTGGAGCCAGCACAGATCTCTGACACAGCCCGGGGAGACTCATGTTCCCTAGGATTCCAGCCTTAGCTTCTCCAGGAAAGATGGGTGGGCACCTGGGAGCCAGCCAGTCCTATGTCCTGTGGACAAGGGACGGGAGGAATCAGGTATTGGGCCGGTATTGGGACTTCCCCAGGTTTGAATTTCATAAAGTATGGAGTCAGGGCTGGGATCTGAAACCTGTAGAAGTGAGCAGGCAGGATGCCAGGGCTGGGAACTTGGAGTTGAGCCGGGCCCCCAGGTTCTTTGATGGAACTTCTAATGGCCCCTGGGGAGCCCAAGGGCTGAAAGAACACTCTAAAATGTGAGGAAGGAGATTGAGGGTTCAGCCCACTCCCCTGTTTGGAGGTCCCAGGACCGTTCTCTGAAAGAGAGCCGGGAATTGAGCATCTGGCCTGGCCTTGATCAGCCCGGCGCTCATGCATCCTTGGGCCCCTTTGCAGGCACACCTGCCCTTCGCTGTGGTGGGCAGCACCGAGGAGGTGAAGGTGGGGAACAAGCTGGTCCGAGCACGGCAGTACCCATGGGGAGTGGTGCAGGGTGAGTGTGCTGGGGAGGGCACCCCCCAGCTGGCACCCACCCCCGCTGGCGGCCCCGACCTAGGCCCTGTCCTGCATTACTGCCTGTAACACCTGCCCTGTCTTCCCTGTGACCCTCTGTGGCCTGTTCTGCCTCTGGAGTCTGCCGCTAACACGCTGACTGCTGTCCTGTGCCCTGTCCTTCCGGGCCTAGCTGTGTGCCCGCCTGACGCCCCGGGTGCCCTGTGCTTGCAGTGGAGAATGAGAATCACTGCGACTTTGTGAAGCTCCGGGAGATGCTGATCCGAGTGAACATGGAAGATCTCCGCGAGCAGACACACAGTCGGCACTATGAGCTCTACCGGCGCTGCAAGTTGGAGGAGATGGGCTTTCAGGACAGCGACGGGGACAGCCAGCCCTTCAGGTGATGGCCTGCACATGGAGCAAGCCCGTCTTTCCAGCCTCAGCCAGACTGGCCATGCTGGCATCTGCGTCAGGGGTCCTGTGAGCCGGGGAGCAAGAATTTTGGGACCCCAGCAGCCTCTTGCCCCAGTGCCCATGTGATTCTGCTTCTCTGCCTCCCCCTCCCCCCACCCCGCCATAATCCCAGCCTGGCCCTCTCTTCTCTGGGTCTCCACAGCCTACAGGAGACCTACGAGGCCAAGAGGAAGGAGTTCCTGAGTGAGCTGCAGAGGAAGGAGGAAGAGATGAGGCAGATGTTTGTCAACAAAGTGAAGGACACAGAGCTGGAGCTGAAGGAGAAGGAACGGGAGGTGAGTGCGGGCTGGGAGTTGCGGGGGCTGTGGCGAGTCCAGGCCTGGCTCGGCGGCAGGAGGGCCTGGCACCTCCCTGGCCCACTACCGCCTTCTGCTCCCAGCTCCACGAGAAGTTCGAGCACCTCAAGCGGGTCCACCAGGAGGAGAAGCGGAAGGTGGAGGAGAAGCGCCGGGAGCTGGAGGAAGAGACCAACGCCTTCAACCGCAGGAAGGCCGCGGTGGAGGCCCTGCAGTCTCAGGCCTTGCACGCCACCTTGCAGCAGCCTCTGAGGAAGGACAAGGACAAGAAGAAGTAGGTGGTGGGCTCCCTGCCCTGTGTTGGCTCTGCTCTCTCCTGGGCACTCTGTCCCCCTTTTGGCTCCTTCAGGTGGACTTTTACTCTTGCTCCCTCTCGCTTGTTTACCATTTCTCTCATCTTCACTGGGCCTTTCACCTTGTTCTTACTCACCTTTCTTTTTCTGTCACTAGTGATCTTGATATCTTAAGATATCAAGTTTTCGTCCTCTCTTGCACAAGCGACACCCCTCCCTCCCTCCCTTTCTCTCTCTCTCTGTCTCTCGCTCTCTCTCATTCTCCTGCAGCCTCCTCCCAGCTGGGGTGGTGAGGGCTGGACCACACAGGCAGGGAGTGGCCCCCGAGGGGTGCAGGGGGTCTCAGGGAAGGTCTTTCAGGCCAGAAGAGGGACAGGGTCTGGGAAGGTGAGCATTTTCTGACAGGTTCCAAAAGCTCCCGTGGTTTCTGCTTGGACAGCTGCGGCACCTTCCCCCACACCCTACCCCACCCCGCCCCAGTCCCTGAGTCAGTGGATGTGGGACCCCTGTTGGCTGGCAGGTGGTGACTGAGAACAGTGGAGCCCAGCCAGCACTGACCCCCTGGACCCTATGATCACTACCTGGCTAAAGGAAGGACAACAGCTCCTGGTGGGGGCTCTGTGAGTCCTGCTAGGGAGGGGGCTGCTCCTCAGGTAGAGGTTGGAGTTGTTCAGAGGACAGAGAATGTTGGGGGATGGCAAGGAGACTTTTCTCAGTCCCCAGGAGTCAGTCAACATATTGGCCAGGTGGGGGCAACGCTGAGTCACTTCCCCTTGGCGGTTTTTTCATAGCCTGGTTCCTTGCTCTCAGCTGGAGTCCAGATGCTGTGGCTCCTGGGGCTCTCTCTCTTCTACCCCACCTCATTCAGTGTCCCCCATCACATCACATCACACTGTGGGGATCTCGTCCAGCCCCTGGCCTGTGTCAGGTACTTTCCTTCCTTGGCAGCCTAGGAACTGAGCAGGTATACCCATCTTGGCCCTCATTCTTGGGCTCCATGAAATCCTATTTCCTCCTTTTTGGGAATGTGTGTGCCAAAGGCCCTTCCTTTCTTGGCAGTGGAGCCCCGTGGTAAGAGCCATGCAGTGCATAGCTAGCTGTGGCCCTGGGATACTGCTGCTGGCATCAGCATTCCCCCTACTCCCCAGGATTGCATTCCCTAACACACACACACACACACACACACACACACACACACACACACACACACACACACACACACACACACACACACACACCCATGCACACACGTACATGTACACTGTCTTTCTCTCCTGCCCCATCACACACACAGACTCAGGCACATATCACCAGCATACAGCCCCGAGATAAACATGCACAGAGGCACAGACACATTTAAGGAAAAGAAACTTAAAGAGCTTCTCCCTGGAGGAGGCCAGGGGGACAAAGCCAGGCATGTAGGAACTGGATGCTAATTCTCATTCCTAAGGCCTGTCCGCGCTTTGGGGACAGTCCCTCCTCCTTTCTGTGGTCTCTCTCATCTGGCTGACCGGTGGCCCCATCCTAACTGCTGGCACTGCTGGACCCCAGTTCCCACACCCCTCAGCCATGTGGGTGTCCTCGCTGCTTTGCATTTGCTTCCAGCCCTTGTCCCACATTCTGCTCTTGGCTTGGTGAGTTCCAATTCTGTAAATAGGAACCCGTATTTCAAGCTAGCAGCTCAGAAACCTGTTTCTTCCTGGAAGGGGTAAGCTGGTCTATGACCCAGGTGCTTGTACCCAAAGTGACTTTATCCTGCTCCCTGCCAGCTTGGCCATGGCCATCGTGTTAAAGAAAAGGCAGGCAGAGTCCCCTAGCAACTAAGCTATGGAGAAACCCCTCAGAAACGAAGACAAGGACCTGTGGCCAGATCAGGGTTTGAGAGCCAGTGGGTGGGATGCAGGCTGGCTGCAAGGGCACCAGCACAGCTCTCAGCGTGCGGGCACGTCACTGTGTCAGGACTTTTCTGTTTGTTGGACATGCCAGAAAGTTTCAGTCAGTTTGGCCTCGGGGAGACAGACCTTTCCTCCCAGGCTGGCCTCGTGAGGCCAGGAGTGGGATAGATGGGGTGGCTGGAAGCACCCTTTCCTCCTACCCTGGTCAGGGAATTGGGTGAGTTGTGAGTGCATTTGGCGGGGGAGGGGGCATGTTCTATGACCATTTAGTTGAATGACTTTGATTGGTTGTATTTTTCAAATTTTAATCCATTTTTGCAAAATTACTTCCCAATTAGATCTTGACCCTCAGCCTGGGATGCCACAAACCGAAGCGAATTCTCTGCTTTGCTTGTGACAAATGCCAAACTGACTCCCCTTTCCCAGTGTCCATCTTGCTGTCTTTTGCTTCTGTTTGATTTGGTCGTCTGCGTATCTTTTAATGTGTCTGTTTTTGTTTTTGTTTGTTTTATTTTTATTTTTCAGTTAACGCACGCACAGACTTACTTGTCAAGAGCGGACTTTAGACTTTCATGTGTTAAGTTGCTTGAGTTACACCTTGTGACCCTTCTCCCATAACATGGTGTGAGGACGGACTGGGAGCCGGTGCAGACTCCAGTGTTCACAGCCTTGCTGTGTCACGCGCCCCCACCCTCGGGCTGCCCTGGGCCTGGTGGGCCACCCCTTCTCTATGCAAACACATCAAAGCCATGAATGCTGGAATCCAAAACTGACGAGGTTTATTTTTTTCAGAGCCAGTGGCTGGTCTTCCATTTACAGTGTCACTATTCCTTGATGGAGCAGTTATGTGCCACTCTAGCGAAGGCCCCCGCTGGCGATGCTCGGCCTAATTGTTCAGCGTCAAGATGGCAACTCCTGCGGTGCCCTAGGTGTGGCCGCGTGGTCTGGTATCCATGCTGCAAAATTTGCCCGATTCCCCTTTGTTTTAATTTTTCTAACCTAGAGCTTCATTTCAATAATAACTTTTTAAAACACTTCTAAATTTTTATTTTGGCACGAGCATAAAGACGAATAATATCCTCTCTCCCATTATTTTCATAAGTAACACAGACTCCCTGATTTTTAAAAACTAAAAATATCTCCAAACCTTTCTTATGTATAAAGTATCCCTATAACATATAGGGAGAGGTGGGTAATAAACATCCTGTCATGACAATGTTTGCAATTTCTTTGCGGATGAAAGTGGAACAGGAGTAAGACCACGCCCAGTGCTTTCACTGTGAATGTAAATGGAACAGCAGCCCAAAGCCCATGTCTGTGTGCCTCAGAGGTGCTACCTATAAACAGGGACCAACTCCACGTGTGTGCGTTAAGTGTTTGACTCCAGCTAAGACCCCCAAACCAACCCTGCCAACCTGTTTGCCAAATGCACAGAGTGCTCAGCCGGGAGGAGGTTTTTATCTCAAGATCCTTGTTTCCTTTTTCCTGGCTGAGTTACAGGGCAAAAGATGAAGGTGTCTGGTGTATGTGGACAATTTAAGAAAAATCTACCAGCAAAGGACATTTTCCCCTTCAGCTGCATTCTTTAGGAGAAATGTTTTAAGAAACTACTAGCAGCATTGATTCTCCTATGTTCCTGTTGGTTTGCAAGCCATTGTGGGGACCGGGGTTGAAAATGTGGCCTGATAAAATGGGAGACGAAAATGAATAGATGAAAGGAAGGATGTCCTCTAATGGTGATGAAGCGCTGTGCTGGGCACAGGCTCCCACCGTAAAGCCGTACCCTGGAGGAGCTCAGTTTAGCGCACTCCCTGGCTGGAAGCCATCGGAAGCTGCACTGATTGATTTTGGATTGGCAATTTGTTTTTCATGTCCTCCATGTCCCCTGCCATCACCTGCTTTATTGATTTGCAGGACCAAGTCCTGGCTTCCTCCTGCCCTCTTGAGATGGTGGTCCTTTCAGAGAGGGGTGGCAGGGTGAGCTGCGCGTGTCCCCCGAGGCACCGCCAGAAAAAGGCAGCCTTTGCTGCATGTGAGGGGCTCCGTTCACCAAGAACAGAGCAGGTTTTATTGATGCTCAAAGCGACAATTCCCCCAGTGTTATGCCATGACCACGGGTGGATCCGGATTTTGAGGGGTAGAAACTTGAGCTATTTGAGAAGCCTTCACGAAAAAGAACATGAATGCTCGATGAGGTACGGGCCCTTGGAAGGGGCCTTGAGGATTAAGCTTCGTTAGCTTCCCAGTCAACCCACCTCTGGTTTTGTTGTGACTGAGGACTGGTGCTTCAGTGTGGGTACCCAAGCAGGTAAATCAGCACATCTAAGGCAGATGTGAACTGCGAGCGGATTGTCTGTAGGGTAATTATATGCCTGAAGTGGATGAAGTTGGGCAGAAGCAGGACTAAGATAGCCTCTGTCGGCTAAGGTGTTTCTGAGGATGAAGGCTCCATGACCCAGTGGGCTCACTGGTTATGTAAGAAATGAGGACTGCTGGTTCAGTGCCAATCTGGGGTCTCAAGTGGGCAGATTCTGCCACCCACCCACTGTACCCTGCAGGCTGCCCACAGGGCACAGTGGAAAGCCGGAACTGCCTGCAGGAGATCTCTGAGGGGACCTGTCGTTGTGTTTTCTGGGGTGGGGTCTGAGCTGCCTCCACAGGTCCCATCAGCTTTAATGAATCTCGCTGCACTTCTCTCCCCATGCTGTTTTTGTTTGGAATTTTGTCATCTTTAGCTGAGACCAAATTAATCCTTGGTGCACAAAGTGAGCTTAAAAGTTGCTATTTAGCAAGCTACCCCTAAGCGAACATTTAGAAATGTTACCCCTGGCTGCGGGGTCTGGTTTACCCCTCCTTTTCTTTCTCAATATCATCTGTTGGCATTATTAGGGCTGGTAGTGGGAGCATGCTGGCATTTACTATCATGTCTTTCATGAACCAAGTTGCTTTTGGGTGGAATTGCCATATAATTTATTGTCCAAACTGAGACTTTTGAAAGTGAAAGGAGATGCTGTTGATTATTCCGGCTCAACAGCATAAGCCAGAGCTGACTCAGGCAAAGTGGGAGGTATGGTCACCCCAGTTATGGGTAACCAGAGCCTGGGTGGTTGATAATGGTGCGGACTGACTGCCTAGATGTTTGTATGTCTATGTGTGGGTTCCCTGGTAAGTGGGGCTCCTGCTACTGGATAAGAGGCCCCCGAGGGAAGTGTGGCTTGCTAGTCTGTTACATTAACATGCTTTTCTAAAACTGCTTCACTTGTTAATTCATTTACTCCTTCATTCATCGACTGTTTTTGTTCCTTTCCATTCACTTTGTACTTTTTTTCCCCCCCATTAAATTTTGCATTTATTTTGAGTTTTTGTGGTGTCTTTTTTGGGTAGTAGCTTTTCTGATTTAACAAGTTTCCTAGCCTATTCATCTGCTACAACTGTGATAAAATACAGCTTGTCTTTTCTGTGAACTTTGTGGAGTTGATCAGCTTCTGATAGGAATTATGTTTTAATAGTGAATCATGCTGTGGGCGTCTGTGAAAGGGTTTTGAATGGGTGTGGGATGGAGGAAAGAGTCATAGGAGAGAGAAGATACAGCCTGTGGCCTGCTGGATCGTTATTGGGCAACTGGGTGAAAGACATGAGAGAAGGCAAACCCTGCCCTTGAAGGGTTTACACCCTTGTGGAGGAGGCTTGACTTGGCACAACTAACATTAGAGTTCTTATTGTGTGCTAGGCATTGCTCTAAAGTACATTACATGCATTAATCCCTCTAATCCTTGTAATAATCCTGTGATTAGTGCCATTTCCCCCCATTTTATGGCTAAGGCACAGAGAGGTTAAGTAGTTACCCAAGGTCACACAGCTAATAACTGGAGGAACTGGGATTTGATTATTGGTAACCTGTACCCTTAATTCATGAGTTATAGATGCTCTTTTGCAACCTGATGGGATGATGGAAGAACAGTGGGAATGCAACCAGTAATAAAGTGTGCAGTCTGACAGTGTGAGTTGGTGGACCTGAGATGGTTTTGTAGAGGTGGGATGCCCAGACAGGTAGGCAGATATTTGGTTGAGGAAGGTCAGACTGGTGGTTGAAGGAAGTGATGACAAGCTGACAGATCCATTTGTTGAGCTTTCTCTATTGGGCACTAGGCTAAACTCAGGGAAGACCAAAATGGGGAGCCTGGGACTAAAGTCGGGGAGCTGACAGCCCAGTAGGAAGATTGGTCTGCAGACCTCCCTAATGCAGGCACAACTCACTATGCCCTGGGGAGGCAAAGACTTCCCCAAACTATGAAGGACAGAGAGTGTCTAGGAAGCCAGGGGGAGAAGAGCTTGTTGGTGGAGGGAACAACGTTGTACAACTTGGCTCCCATTTGGGGGAAGTACTATTTGGACAAGTTTAAGAAAGCTGCATGATGCTTACCTGCCCTGCACTTCCCTTAGCCCATCTGGGCCTCCTCCCATCTCCATTTTCTGCAGCCACAGTCCTTCACAATCCCTGTCCTTCTATAGGTGGGGATGAAGGAAGATGGACTGTGTCCATATTTCTCCCACCACGGAGGTAGGATATGAGCTCCTAATCTCAGAGAGGAAAAAAAAATGCTAGAGGAGAGTAGGATGGGGCCTAGGACCCAAACGCAAGCTTGAACAGCATAAAAACTTTAATTTACAAGTGGTACTTTGGCAACACAGAAGTTTGCATCCCCAAAGAAGAGGAATATTATTTACAGAAAGACAGAGCAACAAGGCTGGCCCTTACCCCAATACTGGGGCTCACAGGTCTACCTTCTCTTTCTCCAAAAAACAGATGGATTAGCTCTGAGGACCCAGCTTACATCCAGAGCTACTTGTTTAAGAGGTCCCTCTAGGTCCTGGCAGTTCCCTTAGGATGAGCTGCCACCCCACCCACTGCAGCGCCTACTCCCAGTGGAAGGAAGGAGGCAGAGGGCAGTCAGAGCCACAGTGAAAGCCGTGGCCATGAACTACAGGCTGCCTCTCAGCAGCTCCATCCGTGCTGGACTAGAGGACAGTTACTGATCGGACCTAGGAAATGGTATTCCAACTGCCCTTATCCAATTTGAGCAAGTCTAAAGGCATGGTACCCAATACACGTAAAATAACATTTAGACAGGGCTGCAAGGAGTTAAAGTTTATTTTTGCAAAAGCTCCAACAGGCAAATTTGTTTCACGGACAGGAAGAGATTGGTACTGACTATAGTGCAGACACTTATAGTATGTCCAAGCCTTGACCACTTCGCACCTAGTAGTAGATTATACTCCCCATGGTTTTAGCACATTTACAAAAGACTGTTCACAGTGGAAAGACTTCACAAATCACCTCTAAATGTGTGGCTCAGTCATTCACATCCCCAACACTACTTACACAGCTCCAGCTGCCAGCTGGACTCCACTGCTTAAAGAATGGCTCTGTAGTGTCAGCTCCAGAGGGGCAGCTGGCTTCTCCCTCACAGCCATGCTAACAGCGTCCTTGTCCTGGCAACACAGTGGCTGGAGCAGGCTTGGCCCCAGAACTGCTCATCTCAAGTTGCTCTCAGAGCTGCGCCTCCCTGTCACAGGGGTCACACCTCATATTCTTCAGCATAAAAATTCCTCTAGTTAAGCCAGTCAACTATTGGGTTGTCGGAAAAGTCATGACACATTTTTGCAACGAAAACCAGAAAAAATACATCATGACTTTTCTGACAACCCAATACTTTGCTTGAGAGTAACAAAGGAAAAATATTCTTAAACTTTGGTCAAGTTATTGCACATTAAACAAAGCATACTTCATAATGCAGCCCTTGTAAAGAGAAGACATAAGTCATGGCCAAATCAAGGTCAAGGCATTCGGGGGAGATACTGTCCTATTTTTCTAGTGGCAGGCAGGATGGAGGGCACTGGAAACACTGCGCATGTGCTTGGTATAAGCCTGGGAAGCTGAAGGGACTTGGCCAGTTCTGCTGAGTGGAGCAGCGAGAACTGGTCAGTCAGAACCAACTTGGCCCTTCAGCCCTGAGCAAGACCCACCTCTGGCTTCATACTCCAGCTCTCTTGGGGGCCGATACCAGCCCTTGATGGAGAAGGAAGGAAAACCAAGCTGCAGTAAGAGCATTCATTCTCATTGGGTCAGGCCCAAGGGCAAGAAGGAAGCAGGTCGTGATCAGACTACCCTTACCGCATGATCCCGACCTCCCTTTTCCCTCTTATTTTCTTCTAAGGACCCAGGAACATTTTCTCAGTTGTTCTTCCAGGGCCTTCTTCCTTTCTTGTTACAGGACCCATAAAGCTTAGCATTTAGAGGCGGCCAAGCAAGGAGAGGTTGCCATTATGTTCTGAAGGACACTGGGCTGGGGCGCAAGCTGGCACATGAGAGAGAAAGTTGTCTGTGTGGGAGGAGGACTACAAACTTCTCAGCTGCTGCTTTACCAGTTTCCTGCAACGGACCATCTGCTCAACACTGACCTGTAATTAAAACAGGGTGGTCATCCTGGAAGCAGAACCATTTTACATTCTAAGAAATGAGCAGTTGAGTGCCAAAATGTTAGCATGGGGCAGTTTCAGGAAGGTCCAACCACTCAGCTTACATACATTAACCCCACCATCTCAAGGACATCCATTTCCCACCTCAGTAAAACTGTCATGAGTCTAACTAAGCATTTCATCTTTCCTTGTCCGTCCTGAGGGATTCTGAGCCCTTGGTACCTGGTACCATACTCATATAAAGGGTGACAGGTCAGACATTTACACTCTGTAATATTAAGCTCAGGGTTGCTTCTTCCTGAACTGGTCATGTCCCCACATCCTCTTGGCTACAGACAGGGGTTGCCCCTGAGATAAAGCTTCTCTCACTGTCAGAGAAACCCACCCCAACTGGTCCTGTGAAGGGTACATGTGACCCATACTCAAGTCCAAAGGGCATGCCAAGTGTGGAAAGCTTAGCCCTTAGGCAGACTTTTCACAGTCATCATGGCCAAAGCATCTTCTGGAGTCCACAAGCCCCAAGAAGGGCCATGGGTACCCTTTTGGGGATACAGTGCAGCAGGCAGCTAAAGGAACAGAGCTGAGAGCTTGGTCTGGGGCAAAGTTGATGTCTACCTGTGCTTTCTTTAGCAGATCAGATATAGGAGCACACCAGTCGGGCATGAGCCTCTCCAACTCTAAGGTGATGATGACCAAGGCCAGTGTGGAGCCCTTGAACTGCAGCAGTTGGTGGCCCGCCATACAGTGCTGCAGCTGCCTGGTCAGGGACGCGACGTGGAGGGAAGGATTCCTCTGAGGCAGCAGCTCCACCATGTGGGGCCAGCCCACGACCACCAGGGCGTGGAACTGGAGATTGTGGTTTTTAATGTTAGAACAGAAAACCCCATACTTTTCATATGTCAATGACCAAAAGTGCAAACAATTTAAATTTCCATCAGGGAACATCAAATGTTGCCCAGGCCCTTTTCATTCCCATCCATGGCCCCACAAGGGGCTTTAGGCTTAATGCCCATTCTGTGGTCAAGCTGAGCCTCAACCTTGGAGAGAAAAGATAGTCTGCTTCGTAACATGGCTATAAGGAGCCCAAAGTACCTAGATGACAATGTTTCAATTCTGAAAGATAGAAGCATACTTTTCAAGATTAAGGCAGCAGAAAAGTTACTGTATCTGCTTGACACAAGAAGAACCTCTGCTAGTTGGCAACAGTGGCCAGTTTTCATACTGAAACAGCCCTTAGTAATATAATCTTCATGCTTCATAACAGACCAAAACCCCATGACATTTCCACATTGCATAATTTTGCCTTACTAACAGAATCATATCCTTAAGGACGACCATCCTTCCCTAACTAAAACAAATACAGACTAATATGATATTTTTTAAGTGCCAGATCAATATGGTCTAAAGACTCAAGAAGGATTGTGTGTAGGTGAATAAAGACAGCTCAGTGAATGTGTGTAAAGTGCAGCAAAAGCAGACAGCTTTTTATGTACAGTATTCATAGAATGGAAAGTTAAATATTTTTGCAGTGTGTATTTAAGAGAAACTCACCATAATAGTGCCGTCTACAAATCTTTGTAAAGTTAATGTCCTTTAGAAGTGGGAGTCTGGTGGAACTGTGTTGAATTTAAGATACATTTTTCACTGTTGCGTGTGTCGTGAGCCTTGTGGGTCACCTTACCGTGGTGCATGTGCAAGGACGTGTGCACGCCTGTGCTTGGCCATCCTATGTTGTGAACAGCTGTTCCAAAGGCACACATGAGTCTAGGGAAGATTCTGCAAACTCCTCGGACTTACTATGGCCAAGAAGTCCAGCGGTGTCCCAATATAGAGGTCCCAGTGCAGTTTGTCCAAAATAGCCAGCTCCATCCTCAGCAACTCATTCGAGGTATAGCCAGAGCCATAGTGCTTTATGAAGTCTTTTATGCGTGGAATTAACTGTAAAAAGAAAATAAAGAGGCCAAAGCCCTATATCATGTCATGGGAGCTTTTGTTTTCTTATTCATTGGGACTGGGTATTCATGACCTTAGTTGTCTTCCAGTGACCTGCCACAGACAATGCTTCTGAAAGAAAAACCAAACCAGCTCTAGGCTATCTGTCAAGTCCCCAGGTAGCTGTGACAATGTGTAGTGAATGTCACATGGTTACCCTCTGCAAACAGGTTTTGATCACCAGCTGTCCTCCAGTTCATACCCAAAGGTGCTTTGGAGACTGGGGCTGTGCCATCTCCCCTGTTCATCTGCAGGAATTCACCCAAAGCTTTCCAGGAGCTGTGGGCTCTACCCATTCCTCTTACTGAGCCCTGCCATGATTACTCTTAGAGAGAAAAGTAGGCCTTTGTGCTTCCTGGTCTGCACCAGACAGGCTCAGTATTGGCAACACCATAGCTGCAAACATATTCATTTTTGGAAAAACTATGACATTTTTTTTAGAGGGATCAATAAAGCTTATCTCTGAGTAAACGTTCAAGTACCAAGTGAATGAAAGACTTGGTCCTACTTTTTGAGATAAGGTATTACCTCCAGAAATACTTCTTTTAAAGGTCATTTACTTGATTTTTTTTGGGGGGGGGCATAAATTCTAATAAACAAGGGTTAACAACATTTTTATTGAAGGTTTGGAGCTGGACACTAGTGAATTTTTATGCCCCCTCAGACCATGAGATCAGCTAAGGGAGACCCTTTGGAAATGGCAGTGGTTCCACTAACCCCAAAGAGGCGGGGCGGGAGAGAAGGGAAGGAGGAAGGCCGGTCTGGGAAGGGTATTGGGAGAGGACCTTCTTCTGAACAGAAGCCACAGTGAAAATTAGACGTTCAAGCAAGCCTGAAGCACTTGTGGAGGCTTTTCCTTAGAGAAGGGTCCCAGAGTCCCTGAGGAGCAGTTTTGTTGACACAGCCAAGTCCTATGGTCTCAAGCAGTTTTCTTAGATGTAGCTTCCAAGGGTGGACACTTAGGCCATATGGTTTGGGAGGCCTTTTTCCTAGCTCAACAGCAGATGCCTCTGCTTAGTGGGAGGTGGCATCTGGCATCCACCTGTGAGGCAAGATCTATCTGCCAGGAGGGCAGGCCTCTGGGTTTGCTGGGCCAGAATTCAGCTGTTCTAATTCCCCATTTGCAGGGCTCCAGAATCAGAGAAGCTTAAGGAAGGGATAGCAGAGATCCTGGGAAGTTAATGACTTTTCAAAAACGCCCACCATCCCCAGCTGCATAGGAATCTTGAGTGCTCCACTTATACCCTTATACCTCAAAAGCAGCCCAGAGGGGACTTCCAGGGGTGCATACCTCCTCTTCTTCGTTAATCTTTGCAGCAAGCCTCAAGGAAGTAATTGTGACACAATGGAATAACCTCTCTTTTACCTGCAGTATGGAACAGTTGGGCAGAAATTGAATGTCAGAAACAAACTGTAAAGTATCTGTGCTTTTTTTTTATTTAAGAAATTAAGTTTTTTCTTTAGAAAAACCACTGATTGTATTCCTCCACAAATAAGTTAGTGCCATTCTTAGATTTGACCAGTGAAAATGCTCCTGATATCAGAACCATAGGCGACTTAGTCAGTAGTCCTTTGTTAGAACTGACTGGAGGGGTGGAATATGACACCTTATCAAGGAACACTTAGTCCCATACGGGCTCAGGTTGCGCTGGACAGGTCCAGACAAGCACGCCCTACCTCGCCACACAGGAAGTCCTTTCCTAACTAGGTCCCCTCTGCCTCCCCAAGTCCACCCCTGACCACACAATACTGAGCCACAGGCATGGTGGTGGGATGTGGAGAGGTCCCAATTCCAATTCTACCACCTCTAGCAAGTTACTTAGTTTTGAGCATCTGAGATGGCTCATCTCTCAAGTAGCCACAGGGAGCAGAGGTCAGTCTCTTCTCCCACCATCTGTCACCATCCCTCAGAGGCCTCCCTACCTTGACGGAAACCAGGAGGCGGCGGAAGATAGTGAGAGCCAGGCTAAAAGTGCCCTGGGAGAAGTGAAAGATGTTCTCCAGCCACAGGAGCTGCAACACGACTTCCTGGAAAGTGTCAACGAACTCCACCTGCTGAAAAGAAGGAGTAGGGAGGCCAGGGAAAATGGTTGGTGGCTGGTCTTGGTCCATCAGTGGCAGAAGCCGCCCGACCCAGGTGACCAGAGGAGCTGTGGGCAGCCCTTTCACTTTAAGTCGCGATGGGAAGAAGCGCCTCCCTGTCGCCCATCGGCTAAGCCAGGTGGCCCCCTCCCGCGCCCGTTTTCCGTCCAAAGCAGAGTTCCTCGACCCACACAGACCCTGTTCCCAAGCACCTACTCGAAAGGCACCCCCTCAAGTGAGAGAACCAGCGAGTCCCGCGTCGTGCCTCGTGCAGGGGACGCACCTGGGGAAGGGCCCGGTCTCCAGGGTGCGGCTCACCTGAGCGCGGGTGCAGGTGGGGCCCGGCCGCGTCCCGTGCGCACGTGAGGAGGGGGATGCAGGTGCTCCCGGGAGGGCTCCGCCGCGGGGACGGGTACCTGGGGGCGGCCGGCCCGCCACAGGCGCGCCTCGCGGCTCAGGGCCATGTTCAGGTGGGCGGCCAGCCGGCGCTCGTCCAGGAGGCCCTCCAAGTCACACGGCACCGGCCGGCGCTCTGGCCCGAAGGGCGGTGGCGGCGGAGCGCGAGTGGCGTCGGTGGCGGGGCCTGCAGCTCGTGGCGTCCGCGCTGCCAGCCGCTGGGATCTTCTCTCGGACGGCTCGGGAAGTCGGGCCGCTCCGGGCTGGCACGCCTCCGGGAACCTTCTCTGGGTCGCCGGGGGGAGAGAAACGTTCCACGGAGGCGATGGGAGAAGGAGGCTCAGGGCCATTTCCTCCATACACTCGCCAGGACGCCCGCCCGGACGCGGGTCGGATCTGACCTCATCCGAGGCCGCCGGCTGCAGCGGGAGCTGCGCGCCCGAGGCCATGACGGGCGCCGGATCCCCGGTCTGGAGCGCGGCTTGGCCCGGCTTTTTATAACCCAGCGCCTGGGTCTCGCAGCTGGGCCGCCCCGGGGCGGGGCGGGCAGGCTCCGCGGACCCACGCCATCCTCCCCGGAGATACCCCCCCCCNAGACGTGTGAATGTTTCTTCACTGGGAGCTATTGTTTTTAATAATCAGAGTATTGCAAGTACTAAAAAATGGGGCTTGCGATCTAGAACGCCTCCTCCTCCCAACCAGTGGCAGCCAGGTATGCCCAACCAGATGCGGGCCATTTTTAGCGCAGCCCCCCCCGGCTTGGGCCCGCCCCTCCTTGACACACGCTCCCGGGGTAAGGAGCACGGACCTGGGACGCGGCAGCACAGAGCGCGCAGGTGGGTGAGGGACCCCCCTCTATCTTACTACCTCCGCGCCCGTCAACTGAACGCCTCTTTCCCGACGGAAGCCCGCGCCCCATGCTCTGCCCCGGGATGGGGCAGCTGGTGACTACGCCAGCCGTGGAGGACACTCGGCCACAGACCCTGCTTTTTTCCTCAATCAGACAAGCTGGGGATGGAATTCCTGACTCGCAGTGTGATCTCGTGCGTGTGGCTTGACCTCCCAGAGTCTCGGTTACCCCTTCTCTAAAAAAAATGAGATAATATCTCCCTCACAAAGTTCATTCATGCATATGCTTTTCCATTCAGCGGTTATTTATTGAAGGCCTGCAATGTCTTAGGCGCTGGGACATAATAGTGAATAAAATAGGGAACTTACATTCTAGTCGGGAAAGTCGGACAATAAATATGGAGTAGAAAACATGGAAATCCCACAATTCTACTTCTAAGTATATGCCCAACAGAAATGCACATGTTTGCACCAAAAGACACTAAATGTTCAGAGTAGTACTGTTTGTAATAGCTTGAAACTGAATACAACCCAAATATCCATCAATAGTTGAATGAGATAAATTGTATTATATTCACACCATGATATAGCCATACAATGGAATATTATTCTGCCATAAAAACTAAAGAATTATTGACATACAAGTTCAGACAATTAAGTTCTCAAACTCATCCTAGAAAAAGTGCTACATACCTCATTGCTGAACATCACTATATCACCTTTGAACTACTCCCCTTGGGAAGTTATGCACAGTCTCCAGCCTCTAGTCCACCCTTCATAGCAATTTTGAAACTCTTTTTCTGGAATGGCCATCAGAGCTGTTGTCGTATTACCCTTGATGTCCTGAATGTCATCAAAGTGTCTTTTTTTCAATTTCCTTTATCTTTGGGTAAAGAAAGAAGTCATTGGGGAGCCAGATCAGGTGAGTAGGGAGGGTGTTCTAATACAGTTATTTGTTTACTGGCTAAAAACTCCCTCACAGACAGTGCCATGTGAGCTGGTGCATCGTCATGATGCAAGAGCCATGAATTGTTGGCAAAAAGTTCAGGTTGTTTTTGTCTAATATTTTCACGCAGCCTTTCAGCACTTCCAAATAGTAAACTTGGTTAACTGTTTGTCCAGTTAGTACAAATTCATAATGAATAAACCTTCTGATATCAAAAAAGGTTAGCAACATTGTTGCAACAAGTTCGTGAACTTAATTGTCTGACCTCATATGCTACAATAGGGATGAAGTGTGAATACATTCTAAGTGATAGAGTTCATTTAGAAAAGGCCATATAATGTATAATTTCTTTATATGAAATGTCCAGAAAAGGCACATCTATATATAGAGAAAGCAGGTTGGTGGTTGCCTAAGGCTGGGATGTTAGCAAGAGGAGCAGGGAAACAGGGAGTTACTGCTATGAGTATAGAGGTTCTTTTTGGGGTGATGAAAATGTTTAAAATTGATTGTGGTTATGGTTGCACAACTCTGTATATACAGTAAAAACCATGGAGTTGTACAATTTATATTGGTGAATTGTATATGTGATTATATCTCAATAAAGCTGGGTATATGGATATATATAACCTATATTATATATATGGTATATCGGGTGGTGATAAGTACTATGGAGAAATATAAGGTAGGAAGGGGAGATAAGAAGACTGGGGTTGAAGGTTGGAATTTTAAATAGATCATGGTGGGGCTCACTGAGAAGGTGACATATGGAACAAAGATATTCTGAAGGAGGTGAGGGAATTAAGCAAATTTCTAGGCAGAGAGTTTTCTAGGGCCTGGGTTTGGATCTGGGCTTTGTCACTCCCTATATTTATGATTTTGGACAAGTTATTTAATGGCCTTGTGCCTCAGTTTCCTTATCTGTAAAATAGTCCTATTTTCTATAGGCCTAAGAAACGTTGATGTAGGAAATGTCTAAACCTCTAGAGACTTTTAATGAGTTTATTTGAACCAAACTGATGATAATTGCCACAAAGCAAATTCTCAATGGATTAAGAAAATGCTCTGGAGAATGGCAGTTTTGCAGCTTATTTTATATATTTAGAATCAAAGGAGGAGACATAAGGAGGGTTACACGAAATCCACTGGTGATAGATTATGGGGTGGGAGAAAGCAAATCAGGGAAATCTCTGGGATTGGATAAAAATGTAAAACAGAGGGACACATACTTCTTTTACATGGGTGAGTACATGATAGTTAATAATTAACATTTACAGCACATAGAGATGATATTCGGGGGAACAAGTTAACAATGAGGGGTTCTGTGGTCTAGTGCTCTGATGCGGTGGGTTGTGCTTTGAGGGGTCCAGAAAAAGGGATTACTCTGACATTGCAAGTGTATGTTATCTTAGATGCAAAAAGACAATAGACAGGCTTACTTAAGGTAAGAAAGCTACAGGCCCAGGATATGACTACCAGCCATGACCCACTTTTAGTTAGGAATTTCTATGTTCAGATGATCCTATGTGGTTAATTTCGGTCTCTGAGTTTGTAAGGACCTCCCCTGAGTTTGTCAGGTTTAGTATATGGTCACTTTTTCATCCATACTATTAAAATGACTAATAATACTTATTTCAAAAAGTTATGTGAATTAAATTTTTAAAAAGAAAGTTAAGTACTTAGAACAGTACACTGGCACTAAGTAAAATGCTTTATAGTCATTTTCATTATCTGTTACTGCAAGCACAAAAGCCCTTGCATGCTAGTTAGAAGCATGTCAATTGAATCAAGGAGACCAGGTGCGACTGGTGCAGAGTACTGAGCAAGAGGCAAGATGGTAGGAAATGGGGAGAGGGCTGGTGACTTTGTGAGATGGGAAATCATTTGGCAGGTTTTGAACAGAGAAAAGACACCATCTGATTCCTGTTCTAACACCATCACTCTGGCTCCTGTGTTGAAAATACAGAAGACTAAGTGGGGACAAGGATGCACGCAAAGAAAACAGTTCTGAGCTGCTGTAGTAATGCAGGTGAGACATGGTGGTAGTGGTAAGAAGTTGTCAGATTCTGGTTCTACTTCGAAGATAGAATCAACAAGCTCTATTGAAAGGTTAGCTATTGAGTATGAGAGAAATAGATGGTGGTTTTGAACCCAGCAATTGTCAGAATTCAGATTACATTTATTGTGATGAGGGAAGTTTGAGAGGGAGACTTTTTTTTTTTAACTGTTTGGTGGGGGTAGGGAGATAGGAGTAGGTGAGAATCAACCTTTCAGTTTTGTACATGATAAACTTGAAAAGCCTACTACACATCCAAGCCGAGTGGTGTTCAGGAGAGAGGTTCAGGTAAGAAAGACAATAGATCATTCGTTCTTTCACAAATATTTATTGAAAACCTATCCTGTGCCAGGTCCTATTCTAGGCTTTATTCTAGGCTGTGGAGATACTCTGTGAGAATACCCACAATAGCTCCTCAAGACCTAACCTTCTAATGGTGTGACAGGTCATAAACAAGCCAGCTATCAAGTGCAGTAATGTATGTAAAGTCTTTAGCTCTCCAGATGAGGCACAATGTGCAATTGCTATTGTTGTTTTTTTTTTTAAACCAACAAAACTTTTATTTAGAAAGACCGAAATGATTGCATGTTAATTTGAATTTTATGTTAATTTAAATTGTACAAGAAATGACTTGAAAATTCCCTTTTTGATGTTTTCCAAGAGTTGGATTCCATTATACATGTTTTGTTCTTTCTTTAGACCTGGAAAAAATATACAAATTTTCAACAAGTGATTTAATCCTCCCTTTCCCATGTTCAGAAATCCTTATGATCCCTCAGACAGTTCCTTCTGGAACAAATTTCCCTCTTCTCCCCCAGCCAGCCCCAGTGGGTTCACCTTTACAGGCTCTGGGATGAAGAAAGGTGGTAAGACGTGTGAATGTTTCTTCACTGGGAGCTATTGTTTTTAATAATCAGAGTATTGCAAGTACTAAAAAATGGGGCTTGCGATCTAGAACGCCTCCTCCTCCCAACCAGTGGCAGCCAGGTATGCCCAACCAGATGCGGGCCATTTTTAGCGCAGCGAAATGGTAGCTTTGCGCAGGCGTAGCTTCAGCCTGGCGTCCTAGGAGACGGACTCGAAAAGCCGCCGCGCAGGCGTAATTCAAGAGGCAGAGGAGACTAGAGGCCCCGGGATGGGGCGGGGCGAGATGGGAGTGCGCCTGCGCACAACGCGCTCTCGCTCTAAGGAGCCGCAGTCTCGAGAGCGCGAGGGTGGTGTTTCGGTAATCTCTGGCAAGCCTCTCCCGCGAACCCCGCGCCGTTGGACTGCACCCTGGGAGGGGCTGACCGCCGGGTACAGGGGAGAACCACGATGCCGGTGAGGAGAGTCGCTCAGCGGCTGTGGTTCCTCATCTCCGCGCCGGGCTCCGGGGGCGCGGTCGTTGCCATGGATGCGCGGAGCAGGCGGGCGGCCCAGGTGGGGCGGGGCAGGGCCGGGCCCTGCGGCGGGTGCGGTTGGGGAACCTGGCGGATAGGCCTGGGGCCCGCGTGGGTCCAGCCAGCCCTGGGAGGGGCCTGGGATAGGCCCCGCCGTCTTCGTCGTTGCCGCATCCCGCAGGGCCTGCGCTGCTTGACATAAAGGCGCTGTGCCAAAGGATGCGCTCTCGCTCCCAGCCCTGCCGGCAGGGTTGGGCGTCTGGGAGCGGCCGCAGAGGGTCGGCTTTGGCTGTTCCGCACCCCGCAGGGTCTGCGCAGCGGAGCTACGCTCCGGAAGGCAGTGAAGAGAGGGCAGGCCCCTGCCTCGAGCTGTCATTCCTCTTGTTGCGCTTTAGCTCACAGTGCAAGAATGTAACCCGTAGGTGTCTTTGTGTGTTAGGGAGTGGGTGGTGTATGTTTGTCTTGTAGGATTTCAGATTGTTACCGTGCACCTAGGAAGGGGCCGTCTTAAGTCCAGTATAGGGTCATGGACAACACTTGAACCGTGGCCGGTTATTTGCAGGTTATGAGGCCTCGGACAATTATTTAATCTTTCTGGGCCCTTAGTTCCCACATAATTAAACTTTTCCTCATGGGGTTTTTATCAGGATGAAATAAGATGCTGCTCAGGAGAACTGAAGGACAGTGCTTGACATTTAGCATTAAATGCTCAATATTTGTTCTTTGTTGTTGCTTTCAAGTTATTTATCAATTTGTTCAACAGATACTGGGCACCCACCACGTGTTAGGCACAGGAGATACAATATTGAGCAAAACAAGCTTGGTTCTTGAACTTGAGAAGAGAGAAGCTTGCCTTCTTGGGCAGGGATGAGAACCATACGTGTTTATAGAGACAAGACACTTAACACTAATGAAGTCAATGGATGGCATACAATACATAGAAGTAGATTCTGGTGAATTGTAATGTGTTGCCATGTAGGAATGCTGGCCTACAGATGTCAGATCATCTGATTTTTTTTTTAAAGAGAATCTAGAAATTGTTATTTTTGTGAAGTTTTTCAATTTTACCAAATAATTCAAAAGATTTTTAAATATTACGAGCCAAACATAAGACATTTGTGGGCTGAGTTCAGCCCCTTGGCTACCTGTTTGCAACCTCTGGTGTAGACAAAGACAGACATTAATCAAATAACGAACAATCAAAGTGGAATTGTAACCAGATGTAGAAGAAGGAGCTTGAAGAGGGTGCTCTCAGGGCCTATACAGGCATACCTCATTTTATTGCGCATCATTTTATTGGGCTCCACAGATGTTTCTTTCTCCCCCCCCCACACACACACAAATTGAAGGCAAGACCTTCCACCAGCAAAAAGATTGACTCCCTCTATTGCAATGCTCGCTTTATTGCTGTTACTGGAACGGAATCCGCAATGTCTCCGAGGTATGCCTGTACAAGGGTTTGACCTACTCAGGGAAGTCTGCCTAGATGAAGTGGTGGTTGAGCTGAGACCTATAGTATAAGTGAAGAGGAAACTGAGGAATGTTCTAGGCAGAGGGAACAGCACATAAAGACTCCTGTGGTAAGAAGGAGCATGGTGACAAGAAAAGGCCTTAAAGAAAACCAGTGTGGCTGTGGCTGAGAAAACCAACAGGGTAGCTTGTGAAATGAGACTAGAATAGGCATGGGCCAGAGCCAGAGCTTACAGACTACCATAAGGATTTTGATTTTTATCCTAAGATCTGTGGGAAAACATTGAAGAGTTTTAAGTAGGAGAGTGACATGATTAGATTTGTGTGGAAGCTGACTGCCATGTAGAGAACAAACTGTAGGGAAACTTAATTAGATGCAGGAGTTATAGCTAGGAGTCTTATAATCCAAGGTGAGATAATGGTGACCTAGACCGAGGTGGTGAAAGTAGAGATGGAGAGAAGTGTATTGAATATATCTGTTCCTTGTCAATGACAGTGGCTTGTAGTTGTTTCTCTAATGCTTAGAAGAGTATCTGAAACAGTAGGGATTTAACAAGTATCTGTTCAACTAAACTGTTGAACGTCTTCACTTCAATTATAGGATTGCACTTTAACATAGATTCTTAATCATAAAATTTTAGGAATTGAAGATTAGTGTCATACTAAAACATTTTTCTCTGTCTGCTATTGGACTTCCTTTTCTGTCTTTCATTTATTGTTGTCTTCTACTGTATAAAGAAGGTAGACTATATATGGACATATTATATGATAAAAAACATTTTATTAATTCATTACAGAAAATAAACCTAAAAGTCTCAGGGGAACACAGGACCTACTATTATATTCTTGATTAAAGTTGTTAACCATGATAACATTTGTTTTCCTACAGATAGGAAACACAGGAAGTCAGGGACTTCTGTGCAGGATGACAGTCTATAATATACTGGTTCATTTTCTGCTTGACCAGCATTTACTATAAATGTAAATTAGATTTTCCCTCCCTTCATTTGTATTATAAAATAAACTTTTCCTTTTTATATTTTCTAATAAGCCTTTTTCTATGTATCTGTAAGATCTTTAATTGCATTTAACAAGTATTTATGGAGTGCTTTAATGTGTGCAGGACACTGAGATGGTAAAGTAGCCTTTTCCACATTTTAAATTTAGTCTGTTGAAGGTAAGAGTAAATGTGTTCTTTATTATTTGTAAATATTTTCTCCACCAGATCAATAAATCAGAGAAGCCGGAAAGCTGTGATAATGTGAAGGTGGTGGTTAGGTGTCGGCCCCTCAATGAGAGAGAGAAGTCCATGTGCTACAGACAGGCTGTCAGTGTGGATGAGATGAGGGGAACTATCACTGTACACAAGACTGATTCTTCCAATGAACCTCCAAAGACATTTACTTTTGATACTGTTTTTGGACCAGAGAGTAAACAGCTTGATGTTTATAACTTAACTGCAAGACCTATTATTGACTCTGTTCTTGAAGGCTACAATGGTGAGTACCTTATAGAGTTCACTTTTTTTTTTAAATTTTATTGGGGAATTGGGGGAGGGGAACAGACAAGTTGCTGTCCTTTTGTTCTTCAGTCTAGTTGTGGAGGACGTCGCTTCACTGGCCCATGTTGGTATTCTCATTGCGCACTTCCCGGGTGAGGCAGATCAGTCGCTGGCCACTGGACGGCCACTCACGGCAGCTCTTGGCAGCTCATGCCAGCTGCTCACGCTGGCTGCCGGCCGCTCACGGTAGCTTATGGTAGCCCACTGCAGCCCCACTGCAGCCTATGCTGTCGCCAGCGACTCACGGCAGCCCAGCTCCAGGTTGAGCTGTTGTTCACCATCTTAGCTGTGGAGGGCAGTGTCACTGGCCCTCATGTGGGATCCGACTTGGACCCTGCTGCTCAGAGCTGGCATCCCAAGCCAACTCTTAACCAATGCGCTGCTCAGCAGACCTTATAGTTCACTTTTTAAAACAACTTTATCGAGGTATTATTAGTACCCCATAAATTCACCCATCATGATTTTACAGTTTGATGAGTTGTGGTAAATACATATGGTTGTGAAACCATCACCACAATCCAGTTCTATCACCCTCAGAAGTTCCCTTCTGTCTGTTTGCAGTTCCACCTTCAGGCAACCATTAACCTGCTTTCAGTCTATAGTTTTGGCTTCCTTTGAAATTTCAAGTAAATCAGATCATAAACTATGATTTTGTCTTTTTTGTCTGTTTTCTTTCATTCAGCATAATGTTTTTTAGGGTCATACATGTTGTTGCATGTCTCAGTAGTTTGTTCCTTTTTATTGCTGAATTATATTTCATTGTATACCACCTTTTATAATCTTTGATGGAAATCTGGATTGTTCTAGTTTTTTGTCTATCATTAATAATGTTGCTATGAGCCTTCTTTTATAAGTCTTTGTGCAGATACATTTTAAAGTTTCTCTTGGGTAGATACCTAGGAGTGGAATTGCAGGGTCATATGGTTAATGTATATTTATCTTTTGAAAATTGCCAAACTTTTCTAAAGTGGTGATCATACTACTTTTTTTTCCCCACCGGCCTGATTATGAGGGTTCCAGCTTCTTCACATTCTTGCCAACATTTAGATTATCAGTCTTTTTAATTATAGCCATTCTGGAGGATCTGTAGTGGTATCTCATTGTCTTGTATTTCCCCAATGACCAACAGTGTTGAGTATCTATTGTATGGTTGACCCTTGAACAATGCAAGAGTTAGGGGCACCGATCTCCTGCACAGTCAAAAATCTGCATATAACTATTTATTAGCCATTTATATTAGCCATTTTCCCAAAGAAGAATGGTAAAAAATCTCTTAAAATATTTTACCTATTTTTAAATTTGGTTGCCTGCCTTATTATTGAGTCCTGCTCTCCGTATATTCTGGATTCAAATCCTTTAACAGATATGCGATTTGAAAATATTTTCTCCCAGCCTGTGGCTTCTCTTTCATTTTCTAATGAGAGAAAAAGTTTCAAATTTTGATTAAGTCCAATTTATCAAATTTTTTTTTTTTTTTTTTTAGCTGAGCCATCCTGCCACCTGTTGGCAGCTCAGCGGCTGCTCAGCTCGGGCTGACTCGAACCGCTGTTGCTCAGANGGCTGCTCAGCTCGGGCTGACTCGAACCGCTGTTGCTCAGAGCTCAAACTCTTGAGCGAGCTCTTAACCAACTGAGCCACTCAGCCGGCCCTTCAATTTATCAATTTTTTCATTTGTCATTATGCTTTTGGTGATATAGCTAAGAAATTTTGCCAAACACAAAACTACAAAGATTTTCTATGCTTTTATCTAGAAGTTGTAAACATTTTAGGTCTTACATTTAGATCTGTGATCCACATTGAGTAAATTTTTATATGTGGTATAAGTGTCTAAATTCTTCTTTCTTTCTCTTTCTTTTCTTTCTTTTTCCTTCTTGTCTATGGATATTCAATTGTTCCTGCACCATTTATTGAGAAGATTTCCATTTCATTATTGAATTAACTTGGCACTTTTGTTAAAAATCAGCTGATCGCAAATATGTGGGTTATTTTTGGATTGTCTATTCTATTCCATGTGTGTCCTGTTTTGATTACTGTAGCTTTAAATACGTTTTGAAATTAGGTAATATACATTCTCAAAATTTGTTATTCTTCTTCAAAATTGTTTTGCCTTTTCTAGGTCCTTTGCATTTAGTATTTCACCTTGTCAATTTCCACACACAAAAAACCAAACCCTACTGGGATTTTATTGTTATTCTGATAACACTGAGTCTTCCAATCCATGAACACGATCTATCTTTCCATTTATTTATGTATTGTTTGGTTTCTCTCATCAGTTTTTTGTAGTTTTTAGTGTACAGACCTTATACTTCTGGTAAATTTATTTCTAAGTATTTTTGATGCTATTGTGAATATAATTGTTTTTATAATTTCATTTTTGGAATTGTACTTTGTGAACATATAGAAATGCAATTGATTATTTTAGTAGTTTTTATTTTTTTTTGAGATAAAATTTAAATAACATAAAATTCACTATTTTAACTATTTTACAGTGTACACAAGTCAGGGGTTTTTAGTACATTCATAATGTGCAACTACCACCATTATCTGTTTCCAGAACATTTCCATCAATCCAAAAAGAAACTTTGTACCCATGAGCAGTTAATTCCAATTCTGCACCCTCCTACCCTGGCAACTGCTCATTTACTTTCTATGTGTATGAGTTTGCCTGTTCTGGGCAAACCTCATGTAAATAGAATCATACACTATATATTCTTTTGCGTCTGGCTTGATTTACTTGGCATGTTTTCAGTGCTCATCCATATTGTAGCATGTATCAATGCTTTATTTTTTATGGCCAAATAATATTTCATTGTTTGGAAATGGTATATTTTGTTTAATCATTCATCAATTGATTAACAATTGTTTCCATTTTTTGGCTATTATGAATAATGTTGCTATGAACATTCTTGCACAAGTTATTGTGTGAACATGTTTTCAGTTCTCTTAGGTGTGTATATACATAGGAATGGAAATTGCTGAGTCAAAAGGTTAATTGTTAGACTTTTTACATTCCCACCAGCAATGTATGAGGTTTCCAATTTCTCCACATGAATGCCAAAACTTGTTATTTGTCTTTTGATTATAGCCATCCTAATGGGTGTGAAGTGACATCTTATTGTGTCTTGCAGTTGATTTTTGTATATCAAAATAAAAAACCCCATTATGTCCTGCAATATTATTTCTAGTAGACTTTATTTTTTGGTAAATTCCCTAGGATTTTCTACACACAGGAGCATGTTGTCTGCAAATAAAAATAGTACAACTAAATTCTTTCCATTCTTTTTTTTACCTGAATCGCACGGTAGTTTCATAATTTCCTTTTGTTACGTGAATTGCCCTGGCTAGAACCTCCCATACAGTGTTAAATAGAAGGGGTGAGAGTGGGCATTTTTGTATTGTTCCTGATCTTAGGGAGAAAGCATTCACTGTTTTACCAGTAAATGTGATGTTATCTGTAGATTTTTGATAGACACCCTTTATCAGATTGAGGATATTTCCCTCTGTTCTTAGTTTGCTGAAAGTATTTTTTTTTTTTTTAGGAATGTATATTTTGTCAAATGCACTTTTTTCTGCACCTATTGAAATAATTTTTTTTAAGATTGTTAATATGGTCAATTACATTGATTAATTTTTAAATATGAAACCAGCCATGCCACTTGTTCATGGTGTATTATCCTTTTGTATATTGTTATTGGGTCGTCGGAAAAGTCATGACGAATTTTTCTGTTTTTCGTTGCAAAAATGCGTCATGACTTTTCTGATGACCCAGTAGATTTGATTTGCTAAAATTTTGTTTAAATTTTTGCATCTATGTTCATGAGGACATGAGTATGTAATTTTCTTGTAATATCTTTATATGGTTTGGGTATCAGGATAGTGCTAGTTTCAGAATGAATTGGGAAGTATTCCCTGCTTTTGAATAATCTAGAAAAATTTGTCTAGAATTAGTATTATGTCTTCCCTAAGAATTCACCAGTGGAGCCATCTGGGCCTGGAGTTTTTTTGTGGTGTGTTTGTATGTGGGGGTTGGGGGGAGTTTTTAATTTCCGGTACATTTTCTTTAATAAATACAGAGCTATTCAAGTTACCTATTTTTGTCTTTTGTGAGCTTTGGTAGTTTGTCTTTCATGGAATTTGTCAATTTCATCTAAGTTTTCAAACTTATTGGCAAAAGGTTGTTTATATCAATCCCCTATTCTTGTATTAGAATGTAGTAACCTGTCTCATTCCTGATATTGGTAATTTGTGTCTTCTCTTTTTCTTCTGATTAATCTGGCCAGAGGATTATCAATTTTATTGATATTCTCAAACAACTGGCTTTTGGTTCTATTAATTTTCCTTTATTATTTTTATATTTTCTATTTCATCAATTTCTGCTTTGATCTTTTGTTGTTTCTTTTCTCCTATATACTTGATTCTTCTTTTTCTACCTTCTTAAGGTGGAAGCTGAGGTCATTGTTTTGAGACCTTTCTTCCTTTCCACCATAGAGGTTTAATGCTATAAATTACCACCTAAGTGGTAATTTAATGGCATCCTGCAGATTTTGACATACTGTGTTTTCATTTTCATGCAGTGCGAAATACTTTCTATCTTCCTTCTTGATTTCTTTGATTCCTGGGTTATTTAGAAATGTGTTAGTTTCCAAATATTTTGAGATTTTCCAGAGATCTTTCTGTTACTGATTTAATTCCATTTTAGTGAGAGCATGTACTTTTTGTATGACTTGAATCTTTTAAATTTCATTGAGACTTGTACAACCCTGAATGTGGTTTATTATTATTTAAAATGTGCATATTCTTGAAAAGGATGTGTATTTTGCTGTTGTTGGATGGAGTAGTCTATAAATGTCTATTATGTCAATTTGTTTGATAGTGTTGTTCAAATCTTCTGTGTACTTAATTATTTTCTACTTGGTCTACCAATTAAGAGAGGGGTAT